ACATATATCTGAAAGTAGCAAATTTCTAGGACTACAAAATCTATATTAGCTACATTCATGAACTGTTTGTCAGACATGGATATCATTAATTAATTGTATAGTAACTTTGCTTTCCATGGTTTTTCTTTCGTTGTGTTTATCTGTGAGAAATATGAAGAAAATAGAAATAAATCTATGATTGATTACAATACTATGCAATTATTCAATTTTGTTTAGATAACATTACGTGATATAAAAAAAAAATGTATAAAATGTACTATGATAAGTTATAACCGAATAAAAAAAATCTTCAACATTAGTAAAAAATATTTTATCAATCTGTAGGAAAAAAAAAGGTCATGCAAAAACTTGAAAAATGTCAAAATAGAAAGTTTATACTGTTACTGGTTACATCGTCGAGTGATAGATTATTATTTGGGATGTATTAGTCAAGAAAGAAAACTACAGCACTGAGCTAACACATTTTTATTTTATGTTTTTATATTGACTTAATAATGAAAGACTACAGTTTAGATATTTAGAATTTTTTTGTACAATTTGTTGAAATAGTATAAGAGAACGGTTAATACTGATTATTTGTGATAATAGGAAACTTTTTTTTTGTAAAGGGGATAGCGCCTATGCACGAAATAAGCTAGAAGCTACTAAAAAAGTGATCATGTGTTAAAATGATGATTACTTACAGAAATAGGTGTTTAAATTGTCAACGAAGAACAAGTCTAAAGGTTCTGAAAACATACTATATTACTACTGATTCTAGTGCTGCACTTTCTTGCTGATTCTTAATCAAGATTTATCGAAATACATTTATTCTTATCAAAAGAACAGTGAAATTGTTCTTTAAGCAGATGATCTATTTGTTTTTTTAACATAAACTATAATAAATTGAAAAAGTACAGCATTTCAGAACAAAAATTATACAACTTTCTTCTTATGTCGAAATCATTTCTCTTATCTGAATAAGAAATTAAGCATGCACAAAAAAGGAAAAATTTACGAATAATCGAATAAGATATATTCTAAGACTAATTGATAAACTATTGATTGATGTAAAAATCTAATGTTAGAATACAAATTAGTACATCAATGATTTCGTTGCTTAATAAAAATTATTTATTACTCACTGAATTAATACTCAAGGTATAAGATAGAAATCAAATGAAAAAACTGCCTCTTGATCACCCAAAAGAGATACTATTGATAACGAAATACATTAGTGGAAAATGGGTGACAGAGAATTAATGTTTATGAGTATTAAATGGTATGTCTATGACAGAGGATGCACTGATCACCAAAACCTAATTAATCGATCAGACTAAGTTAAATCATAATAATAATCTCATCTGATCAAAATATTTCCATGAATTCAGAACCCTTATAAGCAAAGATATGGGCCTTTGCTGAATCTACGCACACTCATCTATAGGCTTATCTCATTATTTGATTTAAAAAGAAAAAGAATCGATGTCGAAAATTTTCTGATTGGAACATAAAACATAGTCATTATCATACGCTCTTGACAAGAAAGACAAAATAACAACAGATTGATAGAGGGAGAGAAATTGCAAAAACTGCGAATGATGTTGATATAAAACGCAATCTCATAAACAATATTTCGTTCTATTTGTCTATTTTTACAAGATGTATACTTATCTGATCGCAGATTTAATTAGATGACATTTTGACCAAGTTGAGAATGTTCGTTAAAATGCAAAGCACTCTCAGCTTGATATTCTTCATTTCGAATAAATTATATATATATATAGGGTGTAAAATAACCTTTGCGCCTACCTCTATAACCTAAAGTATCAATAATATCACAAATGTATTTTATACCAAATTAAAGCGCATCAAAAACTGGATTTATTGGTACTAAAAAGTAAAGGTTATGAAGGCCTTTTAATGTTGAACTTAAGAAATTTTCAGAAATTTTATGCTTTTTTGGCGTACAAAAATTAAGTTGTCAGCAATTCAACAATGGAGTAAAACTTTTTTCTTGGAAATTTTTAATGGTTCGATAGAGCTCGACGAGCTCTACAAAGCTGTAGATATTTAAAAAATTTTCAGCCATCTTTTTGAGATAAAAAATTCAAAAAACTATTTGGAAAATTGGAAAAAATGTTAAAGAAAGCTCATTTTTTTATGTGGAAGAAAAACACTCGATTTTTCAATAAAATTAGCTTTTCTCATTATTTTTGCTACCTCAGACGTTTTGAAATATAATCATTTGATGCTGCGTGAAAAACTGCATTCATTAAGTACATTTCGAAACATCTGAGATAGCAAAAATAATGAGAAAAGCTAATTTTATTGAAAAATCGAGTGTTTTTCTTTCACATAAAAAAATGAGCTTTCTTTAACATTTTTTCCAATTTTCCAAATAGTTTTTTGAATTTTTTATCTCAAAAAGATGGCTGAAAATTTTTTAAATATCTACAGCTTTGTAGAGCTCGTCGAGCTCTATCAAACCATTAAAAATTTCCAAGAAGAAAGTTTTACTCCATTGTTGAATTACTGACAACTTAATTTTCTACGCCAAAAAAGCATAAAATTGTCCTCATTTCTCATTAGATATAAGAGAAGTAATAAATCCTATGAACTATTCAATACTCATGGATTTTGTGAGAGAGGACTCTATAGTTGGAAGGTAGATTATCTTCTAATGAAGTGAAAACATTGATACGTTTAAAATTGAGCGAGCCATCGACTAAGCATTAAGTAATGCACAGCTAATTCAGAAACGAAGAGGGACAAGTTTTTAAAAAATGTGGTACGAAACAGAGAATTTCTATCATTGTTTGCGTAAACATTTAGTCTTTATACTTTGTGTCGTGATAATTTGAAGAACGGTCATTCGCTTGAAACTCATGAGAGCTTTGTAGAAGAGATCGATTTATCAAGATAATACAAAGATTTTTGAATCTTCAACATGAATGATGTATCGAACAATAAAATAAGGTAAATATTATGGGAATAACATAGAACACAAGTTATTCTATTGAACCATGCATTTTAACGAAAATTCCAACTTACAACACATGCGCAACAGTTTGCAAAATGAATAGTTGAATACTTTTGTAAGAACGGAAAACAGCCTGCTATGACTGTATCGTCGATAAAAACTAAACAGATCACTGTATTGATCTAAAGTCTTTTCTTAATATACGTACCAGAGACTATAGGATGTAATGTAACGAAAACCAGATGATTCAAGTTCATCTAGTTTTTTTTGATATACGCAAAAGAATATAATATTATCTATTACACAGTTGAATAATGTTCTTACTTACTGTATATACTCATAGTTTAAACAGAACTCTATAATTGGATTTATATTTAGCAATTCATGAGTTGATACGATAATATAAAAATATCGATCAAAGCTATTCACCTCTAATTTAGACAGATGAGGGAAACATTCACTTCTATAATAAATCGCATAGTATACTATATATTCAAGCAAGAACTATTCGTAATAAAATATATTTAGTTTTCCAAATTCATTTCTAAAAAAAAGTTCAAAGATGATATGAATGTTTTTGTGAAGGTCGAAAAAGACACTGAAGATGAACTAATCGTAAGTTTTTTAAGTTTACGATGATCGGAGATTATTTATTGAACCAATTCTATAATTTGGATCAGTTTGTGCTTAAAATTCGTCAATTGTAGTATGGAGATCATTCTTAATAAGACAAAGGATATGTTCGAACTTTTCGAATGTTATTTGATGACAGTTACGCCCGACCGTGCTTCATCTTAAATATCGTCTCAATTAGTGCAGCATTGACTTCACTTCACGATTGAAAGTTTTCCTTGTGCAACAAAATAGAAATAAGCGCTGCGTCTACATCCTCAAGTCCTTATTTTCATTTGTGTCTATCTTCATCTTCTTATCTAACACTAATACAAAAACTATATGATCTTCATTATCAAGAATCTCATTCAGTATCATCATCAAATAATCATTATTTATTCATCTCCGAAAAATAAAGAATATCAACACCATGTCACTTGCCTTGTTGTTTTCGTCAATTAACGACTAGTAAATCTTCTCTATCTAAGCTATACGTATCCAAAAGTATTTGTTCAAATGAAAGAATGATCTATCGATAATATACAGTTTTAACTCATCATTATCTATGAATCCACAACAACAGCGTCGACTTGAAGAGTCAACTTCATATGTATATTAAAAATAAAAATACTTTTTTCTCAACTATCTCTTCCTCCTCATTATCCTAAAATTTTTTCATGAATGAAATGAAAACTAAAGCAAATATTGATCGCTCAATATCACCCATTGTTATAGGACATACAAAAACATATTTAGATCAAAAAATCGATACAATGGAACAATCATTTTCAAGATGGTTTAATGAATTTGATCATTGTTATATACATTATCTTAGTATTGATCAGCTATTTTGCACCTCGAAAGTCTATGAAACATATTGATGATGAACATATAACAAATATAAAAGCATTAAATATGATATCTGTACAAATATCAACGTTAGAAAAAACGATCCAAATATCAAGTTCGACAGTAAGTTACAAATATTAGATTGATTGATGGATTATTTTTTTTTTTTGTTATAATTTAGATGGAATGGTTTATGTACAAATTCAGCTAATTATGCATGTTCCATTAAACAAAAGTAAATAATTCATGAAGTTTTTTGTTAATTTGAACTGATATCAAAATCCGTCAAGTGGCTTCGTAATATGACTCTGAGAGATTCCTTGTACCTGTTATGCCGAAAGTAGTGTAGTACTCGAAAAGACCGCTAACTTCGTAGGTCCTTGTCATCGTTATTGTACGTCATACCTACATTCATAGCCCTACATATCTAGCGTGGTCCATTCTACATGCAACCATTTCAGACTTACAGAGGTTTCTATGGTTGCGCGCCTGCATACGCGAAAGCGAGCGGAGAAAACTCGGGAAACGGAAGTGAGTAGCAATCAAAATTAATTTATTGAGCAAGCAAGAAAAAATTCTACAGCTTCTTTCGAATTTCTTCAAATGTTTCTTTATAGGCCGAAAAATGGGGGTGATTTGAAGGCAATTTTTCTTGAGCGATTTCCACCGCTTGTTGAATATTTTTCATGACCATACTATATTCATGAGTAGCCAAATATAACTTTGCCAAAGCATGGTACATAACAGCTAAATCAGGATGATTTTTTGGTAATTTATTTTCACGTATTTGTAATCCTTTTTTAAGATATGTCAATGCTGTTGAATAATCTTTCATTTCTCGATAAGTTTCACCTAAATTTGTGTATGTCGTTGCACATTCCAGAGGATTAGATTCAATATTTTCTTGAATATTTAATGCTTTTTGATGAAAGGCAATCGCCTTTTTATAATCTCCCATTAACCGATGAACGTCACCAATATCACTGCAAGTAGTAGCTTGATTAGGATGTCTTTCATGTAACATTTTCTGATGTATTACAAGACACTTTTCAACATACTCAAGTGCCCTTGCATAATCCTTCATACTGCGATAAACTCGTCCGAACCAAGTGTATGTTGAACTAAAAGCTTGATTACCTTCTTCAAATGCTTTCTGTTGAATATCTAAAGCATTTTGCAGTCTTAAGAGCTTCTGCGTAATCACCCAGATAATGATGCGCCATGTCAGTGTTGGTGTATGAAATAGCCAAATCTGGATGATTCGGATGCAGATTTTTTCTCTTATTAACTGCGCTTTTTCGTAAAATTTAAGCGCTTTCGAGTAGTTACCCATGTTGCGATGCACTAAACCGACATTGTTGTAGGAAATAGCTAATGAGGGATGATTCAGTGACAAACCTTTTTGGAAGATTTTATGTGCTTTTTCATAAAGTTCAAGTGCTTTCGAGTAATGACCCATATCCAAATACGCTCCACCAATGTTGCTGTAGGAACCACCCAAATCAGGATCATCTGAGACAGAACTTTTTCGTAGATTTTAGATGCTTTTTCGAAAAACTCGAGTGCTTTCGAATAGTCACCCATGTTGTTATATACCACACCGATATTGTCGTAGGTAATAGCCAAATCGACCATCTTCGGAGGTGGAGTTTTCTCTTCGATTTCTCGTGTCTTTTCGTAGAACTCAAGTGCTTTTATGTAATCACTCATGTCGCAGTATACTGAGGCGATGTTGTTATAGATTTCAGCTAATAGAAGATTATCTAAGAAAGAAGTTTTACGGACTATTTCGATGGATTTTTCGTAAAACGACACAGCGTCTTTGTATTCTCCTTGGTCCTGCTTCACCCATCCAAGTTGATTATATATATTTGCTCTATTGCTGTCGTCAGACGCCTGTTCTAGTAGTCACATATATAATTCTTCAGCCTTGTCGTGTTGACCTATTTTGAGCAGCAATTTACCCACTCGATTCCATCCTATGCCTTCCACGTCTTCTCGTATAAGGTCAGTTAATTGACGGAGTTGTTGGTCATCGTCTGACGTGAGATTAACGTCCACTTCGTAAAGTGAATTTTCGTTATCAAACTTTCGAACTTCACCAATTCGAAATACGGTATCCATGGTGAAGAGAATTTCTTCTTCTGCCTTGTAATAACTTGCATCCTCGATGGAAGCGAACGGAGTCGATGAGATCGTGGGATCTATTGTCATTTGAAAAGCGACACCGACTTTACCAGGTGTTTCCAAGGCATTTTTGGCAAAATCGATCGAGACATCTCGAGTTTTATTGGTGGACATAAAAAAAATTGAACGATGTAAGTCCTCCTTTGTTTTTAGTAAGTTTTTCGAAATCGTCTGTCGTTAATCCCTGTCTCCGATATAGTAGAAAGGGCTTTCTATGATATTGACTGAACTGTTCTTTGTGTAAATGTTCAAGTTGTCTGTGTATATCACAAAGAAAAAAATGCCATTCGTATAGTTATGTCACCGTCTAATGTTCGCAATGCTCGATGGAGCATTTTGTATGTGAAGCACTCACATGAATGCCATCAAATGGCTTTTGATGCTTGATATGTACGTTCGAATTCTTCAATGAGTTCCGTTTCTTTGGTATTGTTCTTGTATTCTTTTCGACAAAACGTAACTAATTCTTTGAACTTGTTTTGATCATGTTCCATATCAAGAAGTATTTCCTTGAACATTTGCGAATACATGAAGGAGGCTTCGAGTTGATTGAGTTCTTCACTGGAATATCCTTCATTTACACCAATAACACTGACCGATATGTGATCTTGATCACATTGCTTGACAGCCATTGCTAGTGCTTCGCATATGGGTTCAATCGATGCATGAAAACCTTTGATTTTTGCCCAACCTTTGGTCCAGGCTTTATGATCTTTTTCGTGGCAACAAAAAATGTAAATGGCATTTAACCTTGACATGTCACGAATGTCTGACACGAGCTTCTTTCCAAGTGCATTAGAGAAAATAACAAACGATGTCTCCTCCTTATTTTCATTGAGATGTTGAATACATTGTTCGATTGTTGTGCAAACATTGACTTCATTTACGACAGCACGCAATTGCGCGATTATATTTTGACAATCTTTATTTGTCATGTCAATATTTTCATGGACCTAGATGATCAAATAATTTTCAGCCATACTGCGTCTATTTTGACCACTCATTTTCGATGTAATGTTCACTGTTCGATCGATAATCGTATATTATGAATAATAGCTTGTTGTTTAGACATATATAATCCTTAATGTTTATACATTCAATATTCGTTGTTTTGCTTTGTTTTGTAGGTTTTTCAACGACGTCAACTACGGGTATTTTTTTCGTTGACACCATCTATCTACTTGCAATTGGTAATACGCTTATCAACAAGAAATGAAAAAGAAAAAAGATCAACGTGATTTATTTCATGATTATTTTTCCTAACGTTCATTTGTATTTCATTTGAACCGTGACTTAGATTTGATTGCATTAGATATCTTGTTTCATACCTTGTATCGTTTTTTTTTGTCATTCTTGTAAAACAAACATTTTCTCGTCTGTCTGACAAGAACGAAAAAAAAACAGCAAGGCCATCATTAGTTTGATTTTTTCCATTTTGCATACGATTGACATGATGATAATGTGAATGAAACAAGACAAAAAACATTATTTTTATTTTTATTTAGGCAACAATTAAACAATTGTTCTAATTGTGCTTAACTCTTGGTAATATGTATCGTACAACATGGTTATTAGAGTAATGATGATTTGCATACTGAGAATTTGTAAATAGCGAAAGACCGAAGTATCTATTACCAACTCGAAAACAAATGAAACACTTGAATGAATGCTTTATACATTGATGTAGCAAACAAGCAAAAATTTTACATCAATTATCATACAAATTTTACCTACAATGCTATGCAGGCTGTTATCGAAGAGTTATTCGAAAATTTTAAGAACTGCCTACTTTCAGTTATGAACGTCAGTGGTGTCATGTACTATTAAACAGTGCGAATTAGAATTTGAATCAATATTCATAATAAAACTAGCCTTTACTTTCTCTGGTATTTCAATGACATAATCATTACTCGAATGAAAATTACACATGAAAATTTATAGTTTGCTTGTGGTTTTTAGCGTCATACTTAAATACAAAAGTTTCTTTTACATTCGAATTCGTATTAGAAAAATACTGCTATATTCATGTTTTTTTTGTCAATGAGACCAGTATCACCGTGAGAGTGTGCCAGTGAGACTAGCCAGATGAATATATCAATACTTACAATCTTACTAAAGTGATTTCTGATTTATATTCATTCGAAATATGTGTATCATAAAAACAATTGTTGGTTTCTTATCGTATATTAACGTCTCTTCTTTCGTTAACTTCTACGATTCATAAAGAAACAATATTCATATTGTGTTTTGTTTATATTTATGGCTTATACAATTTTAATGTGCGTCACAATGACAATGAGAAAAACTCCTCGATTATAGAAGCATGTAACACTAGAACTATGTTTATTATGAGCGCATATCACTGGGAAACATATTAGAAAACATGCATTAATTGATAACTATTTTTTTGCTTGTGTCCATCCGAAAGAGAATCATACATATTTTCATACAACTGACAAAGAATGAAAAGAATTGCTGATATTTGTTTAACTAAAATCGATGGAAATATTGAAAACACGAATCTTTCTTTTGTAATTCAAATGCAAAACAAAAAACACCATCACTACATTTTATGTTTGATCTCTTTGTTCAAACACACCAATTTATTCTGCGAACAACAAATATTGACCGTAACGTTGATTACATGGTTACTTTCAGTTTCTTCTGAAAATATATCTATGAAAGACAAGATAGATCAACAAAAAAGTTTATTAACAACGAAGGAACCCACGAAACAAAAACAAAAACAAAGCAATTTTTATTATTGGTGTCATCAGTTTTTTTCTTTCGTTCCTATCTGTACAGTGAGTGAAAATGTGATGATAAAATATGTAAACAAAGGAGTATTGAAGAAATGTAATGCCATATTTTTTTCCACCAGTGTCACAGATCCAGAAAATCTGGGATCTTAGAGATCTTCACAGAGATGTTATGTATACAAGCATTTTCACCCTATTCATATATTACACATATCTGATATTAGCCTTTACCTCTACAAGAGATACAGTACCTCTCATCACATCTCTGCAAGAGATGCCACATCTCCAGGATTTGCATCTCTAATGAAAAAATTGTTTTTTAATTTTAGCCTAGAAATGATGCTGGCGATGGGTGTGGGTGTGGGAGATGTGGCATCTCTTAGAGAGATGTGATGAGAGATAAGGTATCTCTGGTAGAGATGCGATATCTCCTTAAGGAGTTCGAGATAGTAAAAAAAAATATCATTACTGTGTAATAATTCAATATTATGTTGTAATGTCGTTAGTATATGTAACATCTCCATGGAGATTTCTGAGATCCCCAATTTCCTGGATCTGTGACACCACTCTTTTTTTCTTTCTTCACTTTTGTCTGTGATTGCATCTCATGAACAGCTTTTTGTCATCATCTCTCTGTGCTTTTAAATCGTTTTGACGAATTTAAATCAATCGAAATGTATTACAACTAATTCAACGCTGTTCAGTGCATTACATTCATTTTGTTTCTTCACATAGTCATGATTTACACGCATCTAATGTTGCGAAAATCCATAGACTTAGTATGATTAGCATTATGTTGAAATGATCATACTAATCAAACAAATGTTCAAGAATCAGTTCTCTAGAAAATTCTTTTTTTGTGTGTGATAAGAGCATTCAAAATTTTATCACGATGTAAATAGAAGTATTAAGAAAGCATCCTCATCTTTAAAAATATTTAGGTTGTGGCCTTATACAGTGGAGATCTACTGTATATACGGTGAATATACAGATATCAACGATAATCCGATCTTGGTCATGAACATACCGTATACGATACGTCGTAAATACAATCGTAAGTCATGGGTTATGTTGATAA